GAAAAAAGGGAAAAAGCAAACGGAGAAAAGGGAAAATGAGAAAAGGAAAAAGAAAAAAAGGTAAAAGGAGAAAGAAAAAGTAAAGATAAAGAGTTAAAAACAAAAAAGAAAAAGGAAACGGGAAGAGGAAAAAGGAAGAGGAAAAGGAAACGGAAACAGGAAGGGGAAACGGAAAAGGAAGTGGGAAAGGGAAGAGTAAAAAGGAAGAGGAAAAGGGAAGATAAAAAGAAGAGGAAACAGAAAAGGAAATGGAAAAGGAAGAAGAAAAGGGAAGAGGAAACAGGAAAAGAGAAAAAGGAAATGGGAAGAGGAAAAAGGAAGAGAAAAGAAAAAGGAAAAGGAGAAAGGAGAAAGGAGGAAGGAAGGAAGGAAGGAAGGAAGGAAGGAAGGAAGGAGAAAACTAATTAATTAATTAATGGATTGACAGAAGGGTTAAATGGCTGAGAAGACAAGAAGAGGAGGAATTCTGCCATAAGGAGAAGCCAAGGCCTGGCCTCCAGCCCAGGTTTCCCCACGAAGGAAGGAAGGAAGGAAGGAAGGAAGGAAGGGAGGAAGGAAGGAAGGAAGGAAGGAAGGAAGGAAGGAAGGAAGGAAGGAAGGAAGGAAGGAAGGAAGGAAGGAAGGAAGGAAGGAGAAAACTAATTAATTAATTAATGGATTGACAGAAGGGTTAAATGGCTGAGAAGACAAGAAGAGGAGGAATTCTGCCATAAGGAGAAGCCAAGGCCTGGCCTCCAGCCCAGGTTTCCCCACGCAGCCATCCCCAGCCCTGGGGCATGAGGAGGGGGCGTTTGGGGCCCTGTCTGCCCCTGTTCGGCCGTGCTCCAGATGGGGTTTGGTGTCCGTACACCCCAGCCGTGTTTCCATGGCTCTGCCTCCACCTCACCCAGTGCTTTGATCTCAGGGCGTAGCGACTGCAGCTGAAGAGAGACAGGAGATAAGGAATACAACACAAACTGGCTGCTGCAATCGCTTAAAGGACAGAATGAGAGCTGCCTTACCCCCATAACCTTTAATTGAATAAAAAAAGATAGTGGGTTATTAGTAAACCCCTTTTTCCAGGAAACTATTAGCCTCTCAACCTTCTATTTCCTTGTGGGTCATGTATCTCCTCATACATGTTCAATTCTAATAGTTGCCGTTTGTTCTCCTCCCGGCTTAGCAGTGAGATAGAATGATTTGAAGTTATAAAACAATATTCCATCTCCTCCTATGTTAAAACTAGGAATATTTCAGGGGGCTATCTTTTCAAATAGATATTGGCAATTCTGTGCTTGTTTGGAGGAGAAACAAAGTGCCCGGGACTGGTGAAACTAATGGAAAAAAACCTGAGAGAGTAAACACCATAAATAAAAGAACCCCCAGACAAAGGGACAACGCCGTCAAGTGGATTAAACACAAAACTGGGAGGATTTGGCCGGGTTTCAGCTCTCCTTCCAGTGCAACGTGACCTTGAGCACCTCACCCAGCTCTCCTGTTCGTTAATACAATGACAAAACCCAAACCAGCAGCATTCGCTGTCTGCCAGCCCCGAGGGCTGCTCCAATTCAAACTCCAGTTGCTCAAAACAGAGCTGGTGAGGGCTGCAATCGGTGATTTTTCCATCCTTATCCTATACTGGGCCTTGAGACAGCCCATAAATCTGCTTATACTTTTCATTACATCAGAAATGTTCACTGTACTTTATACCTCAGGCTGGCCAGGAAGAAAATTGTAGCCATTTTTTTTTTCCCATAGGTTTATTGAAAGAAAAATTCATGGCAAAGGTTTATAATGGTAAATATATACATATATACACACACACTCACACATATATATATATTTCCAAAAGAACTACCTGGAAAATCTGACAGACACATGGAAATGCTGCCAACATGCATCTGAGTAAGCTTCCCCATCAGCTCTGCAAAGCAACTGATATGATGGCAATCTCCTTTGGCCACTTGGGGCTGCCAAATGGAGCGGTGTCCTGGCCTTGGGGTCTAGAAAAGATGATAGTAATAATAGTAATGGTAATGGTAATGGTAATAGTAATAGTAGTAGTAGTAGTAATAGTAGTAATAGTAGTAATAGTAGTAATAATAGTAATACTGATATTAATAATAATAATAAGAAGAAATAATATGATATGATATGGTATGGCATGGTATGGTATGATACTATAACATAATATACTGTAACATAATGTAACATAATATAACACAATGTAATATAATATAACATATAGTCTATATGATGAAATAACATAACATAACATAACATAACATAACATAACATAACGTGATATAATGTGATATATGATACTGTAAGATATCATATGATATTATATGACATGACATGACATAACATAGCAATACGATATGATATAATACAATACGATACCAGACAATATAATACAATGTAATGTAATATAATACAATACAATATAATACAAGATATGATACAATACGATACTATACGATACGATACGATATGATATGATATGATGTGATATTTAACTCAGTCTCTACCTGCCCCTCGTTGGCTGAAGCAGAATCTGAATTCCTTTCTAGCCCAGACTCCCGGCACCGCTGAGCAGTTCTGAGCTCCCTCAGCAGATGGTGGTGCTGCACTGCTCATCTTCAGCAGATATTTAGAAAGCGATTTCCAGGCCCAGCCTTTCAATTCTTAGCTCATGAAACGTGTTTAAAGGCTTCAACTCCTGCTCAGATGCACACCCAGGGAGTTCCTTGGTAGGATGCACTCTTCTCACGTTATTTGCAATAGCTTTTGGCCATGGAGAAGCTGGGCAAATGGCCTCAGTGGCAGATTTATGTGCCAACAGAAAAAAGGTGAGTATGTTTAGGGTTTGTTTTCTTTCTCTGCAGTAAATCTCTGTATCCTGAATGAATGATGGTATCAGTTTGGGTTTAAAAAGGGAAATCAAAAGCAAAGTGTCAAAAGTTTAAGAAAATAGAAGTGATGGAAGAAAAGAGATCACATTTTCAATGGTATTTGCAGTCCCTTCAGACCTGCTGATAGCCAGGGGAGAGGTAAAATTCTCCCATATCTCTCAGAAACCATGGCCAGCAAATCCTGTCCTTAAAAATATTTCCATCCACTATGAATGCTTATCCTCACAGTTACAGCTTTGGAAATCCTGAAAAGCTGATCCACGTCATGGACAAGGCATCTTTTCAGCATCCCATGGACCAGCCCACAGCCTGAGACTCAGCATCCTAAATATTTCTCTTTTACTTTAAAGGACGAGCGCTCTTGCAGTTCATTTTCCTCTCAACACTACAAACATTCAGCACAGGAAGGAAAAGCCTCCCTGAGGAGGGATGCTTTGGGGGGAGCTCCTCGTACCACATCCCGCGGGAGAAGCAGCGACTCCAGCGCTGCCCGATTTGGGGATTGCTGGAGATGTAGCTCTGGTCTCTCCCTTTGCAGATAGCAAAGCCAGGCAGATCTCCCCACACAGACCCCAGCTGCTGTGTTTCGGGCTGTGTATCATGCTGAAGCCTCTCCCACCCACGCGGTGAATCCATCCCCACTTGACGGCTGACGCATCTCCTTCACCATGAACACACAGCGGCAGCAACACGCACCAAACCCACGCACCAGCACCCGCTGCCAACATCCATGGGTTCAACCCGGTAAACACCCATGGATACAGTCCATGGTGATGGGCGAACATGTGCAGGGGGAGCAGGGGTGAACGACTGATGCCATAACCCTCTTTTGTCAAGTTTCATAAGCTCCCTAAGTTTGGGACTTAACCAAAAATCCCTGGGGTGCTGCAGGTCTCTTTGGTGAAATTTGCCTAGTTTTACCTCAATGCAGAGCCAGAGTTGGAATGAGAGCAGTCAAGGACAAGCAGCAGGAGAACAGCCATCAGTTGCTAGAGAGTAGTCCAAACCCTAAACTGTTATGTATTTAAAAACACAGTTCCCAGGGCCATTTAACGATGCCAGCCTTGCCTTCTGGTGATGAATCCATTCGCTGCCACCCGTAACCAGCCACCGACGGGGCAGAGCAGCCTCCCCCCATGGGGTACAGGGCTGTGCAGTCCCAGGGCACCGTGCTCAGACCCAGGCAAGAGTTAAGCAAGAGATAAGCACTGATGAGAGCCTGGAGAGCCAGACAAACCCTCCTGCCCCCCTCCTGCAGCCCACCCCTGGTCCTGCTCTGACGCAGAGGGAGCTGCAGGGCTGCACGAACCTTGTTTGAGGTTCCAATTACATCTCCATGGAAGAGGGACGCTCATATCCTCTGCTGATAAAAAAAAGGCAGTCATAAATTCCCCGGGAGTGGTGGCTGTGGACCACACCACCACCCGCAGCACCAGCGGCTCCTCGCACCACGATGGGCTCCGGGGTGAGGGTTTGCTTTCCTCTGCTCCACACAACAGGTTTGCATTGAGGGTTTGCAGCTTGAGAGGTAAGTTTACATGTCTTTAGTGTTTGTGCTCCCTTACTCCTTTCTCTAATTTATATCTATATATCTATATCTATATATCTTCTCTTGCCTTAATTCTATTATTTGGCATTTACCTGAAGGTCTGGTGAGAAACCATCCCTGTTTCCCAAGTTGCTGACCTGTGTGGCACTCACATTCAATAAGAGAGGGTTTGCTTTTTAATATTAAAAATTGATAAATATCATTGGCTGGGATGTCAGGAAACCACAGGATTATTGGAAAGAGACAGCTTGAACTCAGCCCTTATTCTCTGAAGTGCCTAAGAGCCATGAGAACACAAATGGCTAATGGTTGGGTTGGTTTAGTGCAAATTTCTGATTGATATTTCCAGCGTGACCTAGCAAGCAATCTTCTCTCAGCTCCGCTGAAGCCCTGATCTTAATCACATATGTTAGGCTTTTAAGTCCCGTATCTTGCCATGACATTTCAGTTAGGTCAAATGAAAAGACATGTAAGGTAAATTAATTTCCTTTGAGACCTAATTTAATCTCCAAAGAACAAACATGTAATAAAAGCTGTAGAGATTACCACAGATAAGCTACCAGCTTGATCTGTTCTTTGAGTCTTTGGAAGAAGACTTAAATGATGCCCTGAAGCAGGTACAAGATGTCTCTGGAGAGGCAGAAACGGGTTCAAGCGCGCTCCATCTGCAACTTTAAATGCAAGCGTGATTAAAAACACAGTATTTGATAGCAAAGCTGGTGGTCCCAGCTCCGAGGAAGAGCATCCAGGTTTTGGAAATGGAGCTTTCGGAGGACACAGACACTGAGCGGCCGCAGGAGCTGCTTTTTTGGGATGAGCTGTGGGAGGTTGTAACACCGAGCGTTTTCTTTAAAGGTTATAGGAGCCCTTCAGCCCTGAAGAGCAGGACCCAGAGGGACTCGGCCTGAGCTCCAGGCTCTCGGCCATGGCCCCGGCTGCCGAACGCGGGCCCTGGCGCTGGCTGGCGGCGGGCAGGGCGTCGCGGAGGCTGGTGCTGGTGGTGGTGTTCGTGGCGCTGCTGCTGGACAACATGCTGCTGACCGTCGTGGGTACGGACGTGGCTCTCGCTGTGCTCGCCGGGTGCTGCCTCGGGGTTTCGGCTCCTCGGTTGGTCTCCAGTCAACGCCAATGAGGTCCCTGCACAGGGAGAGCCGTGGGGTGGGCTGGGTGCTGGGAGCCTGTAGGACATCCAGCCAGCACCATTCAGTTCAGCTGCATGCCGAGCCAGAACACAGAGTAAAATCGCTAATTAATCCCTTCCTTGGCTTTTCTTCCAGTACCGATCGTCCCCACCTTCCTTTACACAACTGAATATGAAGGCACCAACGGCTCCACTGCCTCAACCCGGGCTGAGCCAGCTCCTCCAGCCCTGAACCCTCCTTTCTTCTCCACGTTCTCCTATTTTGACAACACCACGGTGGCTGCCTCGGGCTCCATCAGCGCTGTGGGGCTGGTGAATGGGACACAGAGCAGCCCCCTACCAGAGACCCCCACCAGCAGCCCCCCACCACCGAGCGGCTGCCTGGAGGGCGAGGAGTTCCTCACCAACGAAAACGTCCGTGTGGGGCTGCTCTTTGCCTCCAAGGCTCTCGTGCAGCTGGTGGTGAACCCGTCCGTGGGTCTCCTAACCAACAGGTAGGGAAAAGCCTTGGCTTTGTATGGGAACAGGCAGGTCCTACCCGCTGCTATCACCATCAGCTGGGCAGCGGGGGGCTGCACTGCACATGAGCAGCCCCTGCAATCACCCAATTACAGCAACCTGTGGGGAAAATAGCAAGGGAGGATGAATGCATCAAAATAAGCATGAATTTCACCTTTCCTAAAAGCCTACAAATGGCTTGCGAGTTTATATTACAACATAAGCCTCGCTAATGCTCCCCTCAGGTGCAGACAGATGCTCTTTAATGCCAGCAACCATCAAATAAACAAACAAATATTCCCACTCGCTATGGATGTGATGTTGTTGTTCAGGTTTTCTGTCCCTGAGTTTTAATTTGCCTTTGTCTTTAGCAGAAATGTGTGCGGGGTGCTGGGCTCGTCTGGGTTTGGTCTGGGTGGGCTCTACAGCATTTTCTGTGGCACTGGATGCTTCAGGAGACGCTCACCAGCCCACAGAGATGTGTGCTAAGGCTGGGCAGCCGGACCAGCCCTCAGGCTGGAATGGGCAATGGGGAATCCTTTCTTTTACCCCTTAGGATCGGATACCACATCCCCATGTTCATAGGGTTCATCATCATGTTCGTCTCCACAGTCAGTGAGTATTGCTCCCCCTCCAGACACAGCAGCATGGCAGAAAATGCTTTGGTCAGTGCCTGCCCTGCTGTCTCCATGCAGGAGAAGAGAGCAACCAGTCCAGAAATGGGTGACAATAAAGGGCAAGCAGCCCCCTGTCCCCTCCAGCACCCAAACTGGTGCAGGTTGAGGCTGCTGTTGCCCTCTCAGGGTTTTATTGCTCAGCCCCTGGTCTTGCCTGACCCTGTCTCTCTCCTTCCTCTGCAGTGTTTGCCTTCTCAGGCACCTACACCCTGCTCTTCATCGCCCGCGCCCTCCAAGGCATCGGGTCGTCCTTCTCATCCGTCGCAGGTAAATATTTTGGCTGTATCAGCCAGCACACCGATAAATCCCACCCAAAACCCAGGCTGCTTTCAGAGAGCAGCCCCCCCACCATGGCCTCATGTGGTCCCCACTCTCTCTCTGCCCCCAGGCCTGGGCATGCTGGCTTCCGTCTACACGGACGACTTCGAGAGGGGCAACGCGATGGGGATCGCTCTTGGAGGCTTGGCCTTGGGTGTGCTGAGTAAGGAAACTTTGCTCCCAACGGGGTTTACAGCAGTGGCAGCTCCAGAGCTTTTTTTGGCCACCACCTATGGCTTCCAGTTGCCCGGTGCCACCCCATGGGCATGGCTGCCCTGTCCCCTTCCCTCCCTCTGCTCACCCATGGCCACTGCCCGCTGGGTCTGACACCATCTCCAACACAACCCAACACCCACTGGGGGCTTCAGGGACAAGCGTTGGGGGTGGTGGCACTGCCACTGTGTGACACAGCCTTTCCCTTGCAGTTGGGGCTCCCTTTGGGAGCGTGATGAACGAATTTGTGGGGAAATCATCTCCATTCCTGGTCCTGGCGTTCCTCGCGCTCTTGGATGGAGGTGAGAAGCCAAATGGTTTCATTCTACCAAAAAAAAGCACAATAAAATGTTTAAGTGTAGATATTCTGGGGAGAAACTCCCAGGGCTCGTGTGAAGGAAGAGGCAGATTAATACGACACGGATGATACCAGCAGCACCCGTTATTCAGTTATTGCTAAATCCTATGTTTCCCACCGCCAGATGCGTGACACAGCGATACGGTACGAATTAGTGCCTCATTACTTAATAAACCCCTTGATTGCTTTAATGGCTTGAGCAGCGCACTCAGCAAAGCTCTTTGAACCGCGAGTTCTTTGCGGAAGGCGCGCTCGCCTGCAGCCTCTTCACCGCGCCACAAAGGAATCCGACTTTGCCAGCAGAAACGGTGAGCCCTGCTCTTTCTCCGATAGCGGCATTAGAGATGCAGGCCACGGGAGCCTTCAGAGCGCAGCAGCAAAGTTACAGATAGCAGAACTCTGCGTTTTTAGTGGGAGGCATTAAGCTAATTAAATTACAGCCACAGTTACCATCTTTGCCTAGATGTAACGCACGACATCTTTAATGAAGCGTGTAAGAGCTTTCGGGAAATGAAACGGAGGTGCCATACATATGAAACTTCCTTATTTCTTCTCTAATCCTATTCTTTTCCGCGTCTCGTTCCTGTCACGCTCCAGTTGTGGCTCCCCAGCAGGCAGCTTGAGGGCGAGCATTTGCATATCTGACTGCTCCACAGGTTGCCAAAAACCCTGCAAGGCGGCCCATTTCGGGGGTTTTTGCTGCTCCCTCCCGTGGGAGCAGGGCTGGGAGCCACCTCTCCCCTTCACCACTCAAACCACGTCCCCAAACGCAGTTCCTGCACCCCTGCTGATGCAAGGGGCTGGGGAAATGTGGGCTGAAGCGATGCCATCCCCTGAATTAAGCTAACATCAGTGTTTTCTTCCCAGCTTTGCAGCTCTGCATCCTGCAGCCCTCTAAGATCTGCCCTGAGGTGAGTACAGACCGGGTGCTGTGAAGGGCGCGGGCGCTCGCAGGCACCCAGCGAGGATGGGGTGCGGATGCAGGCGCAGCTTTCGGTCGATGTAACCCCCCTTTGCCACCCCGCAGAGCACCAAGGGCACCCCAGTGCTCACCCTGCTGCGAGACCCCTACATCCTCATCGCTGCAGGTAAAGGCGGTGCTCGTGCACCTTTACCTCCTAATTCAAGAGGTGATGCTTGTGCCTGCTCGAAACGGCCAAAGAAGGTGGTAAAACAGAGCATTTCACCCTTTTTTCTCCCCATCAGGAGCCCTCTGCTTCTCCAACATGGGGGTGGCCATGCTGGAGCCCACCCTGCCCATCTGGATGATGCAGACCATGTGCTCCCCGAAATGGCAGCTAGGTGGGTGCCGTGCTTTGCAGCCTCCTCTCCTCAGCAGCCGCTCGGTACAATTCAGCTTGAACCAGCCCTGCTTTGGCACTGCGAGAGGCATTGAATAATCTCTTGTATCACTCTGCAAAGGAAGAAAACACATGATACCCTCACCCGCACCGAGCGAGCGATCCCCAGCTGCGTGTTGCTCCAATTTCAGCTGGAAACATCCTTGGCGGTCGCTCTACAATGCGCTCTGCTCCATTATTGCACAAATTGTATAGAATCAGGCTCCCCGCAAGAGCGATAACGGCAGAGGAAAGGCTGCTGGGCGCAGGGGAAGCCTGTTGGATCCCGACTTCTGCAGGGCAGATAATGGCACCGTGCTGGGCTGCAATCGTGGCGGCCAGATGGGTTTTGCAGAGGCAGCTCGGGGTAAAACAAGGCCGTTTAGAGAGTCCCGGGCAGGACAGGGTGGTACGTGGTAATTACCAGCTGCCTGGCAAATGGGATGTGGAGATAAAATTGTCTGTGCTCGCTACAGAAATGAAAACTAATTGCTACAAAACCCAATTGGCTGAGGAATGACCCGGGGGGTGCCCCCGGCTGCACTTAAGTCCCAAATTGAATTGGAGCCTGGGAGCAGGAGGGCTGAGAGCTCCTAATCGAGTTACCCTCTGTCAGGCAGCAGCATCCATCCAGATAAGAGTCCACGATGCCTCATGAGCAGGGGTAAAGCAGTGGGGACAAGGGACAGCGTGGCTGTGACCACAAATGCCACAGCCTGAGGCTGCTTCCGTCACCACTGAGCTCAAGGGGGACCTCTGAGGCGACTTAGCAGGACCCAGAGGCCAGCAGACATCAAATAAAAGCCCAAATATATGCACTAGATTTGCAGATACCTGAGATTTGAGAGCAGCTGGGGTTTAGACACAGTACAGCTGCAAGCCACCCATCTCACCAGCTATTACCAACTCCAGGGGCTTCTTTATCTGCAGGCTTCAGTTTGCTCAATCTCGTAATTCTGGAGAAAAAAATCACCCCAAAATCAAAGTGAAGAGCTTGGACTAAAGCTGCAGGATTAACCGTGCTCTGTAGCTGTTAGAGAGGAGAGAAAATTAAACACAACTCAGTGTGTTTCAATAAGGAAGTTGTCTTAGCGAGATGGAGCTGATCAGTTTTGTTTAGAGCTGGCGGGAGAGTATATTAAAAATAAACAACAGGTACATCAGCAATCAGTGCAAATATTTAATTAACTACATAATGATCCCCAAGCTTTCTACTTAAGCCGTTATTTTATTCCTCTTTACTTAGTAAGTGAGAAGCAGAAGGCAAGGGGAGGAAGGTGGAAGAGGAGGAGACGACGACAGGAGAGGAGGACGAGGTTATTGAGGCAGAGGGGACAGAAAAGTTCTGTATTTAGCACAAAAATCACATCACAAAAATCACTCACCTGGATCTTGTGGGTAAACTGTGCCTCAGTTTCCCTGGTGACACAGAGTGGGTGCTGTACATTAGTTCCTGATAGTCTCCAAATGAGAGCAGCAGTCAGTTTCTGCAAATCCCTGTATTTCTGGGGGGATGACACAGGCTTTTTTAATTCTCTCCCCCTCAGGGATGGCGTTCCTCCCCGCCAGCATTTCCTACCTCATCGGCACCAACCTCTTCGGGATTCTGGCTAACAAAATGGGCCGGTAAGAGGCACGCGAGAGATCTCAGCTCAGCCCAGCCCAGCCCTGTGCTTTTGGTGTGAATTTCAGTTGTGGTGAGAAAATACCCACCCTGTCCTAACTGTGTCCTCACTGCAGGTGGCTGTGCTCCCTGATCGGCATGGCCGTGGTGGGAATCAGTCTCCTGTGTGTAAGTAATTTGGAGATCTTTCTGTAAGGGTGATATGGGCGATAGAATTGCATCTGGAATATTGTGTCCAGTTCTGGGCCCCTCAGTTCAAGAAGGACAGGAACTGCTGGAGAGAGTCCAGCGTAGGGCTACAAAGATGATGGAGGGAGTGGAGCATCTCCCTTCTGAGGAGCGGCTGAGGGAGCTGGGGCTCTTTAGTTTGCAGAAGAGGAGACTGAGGGGAGACCTCATTCATGTTTAGAAATATTTAAAGGGTGAGTGTCACGAGGATGGAGCCAGGCTCTTCTCGGTGACAAACAATGATAGGACAAGGGGTAACGGACACAAACTGGAACACAGGAGGTTCCACTGAAATTGGAGAAGAAACTTCTTCTCAGTGAGGGTGACAGAGCCCTGGCCCAGGCTGCCCAGAGAGGTTGTGGAGTCTCCTTCTCTGCAGACATTCAAAACCCGCCTGGACGCCTTCCTGTGTAACCTCATCTGGGTGTTCCTGCTCCAGCAGGGGGATTGGACTGGATGAGCTTTGGAGGTCCCTTCCAATCCCTAACGGTCTGGGATTCTGGGATCCTGTGATTCTGTGATAGTCCACGTTCACAGTCAGGAAATATTCAGTTTGCACGTGTTATATTAAATATTCACACATATTAAATACTGTGCACATGTGTATGGGTTTCATGGATCTGTGTTAATCCTCACACCTCAGAGAGCTCTCCTGGCCCCGTTCACGTGTCCTCTTCTCTCTTCTCTGTCCTCTCAAAGGTACCCCTGGCCAAAAGCATTTACGGGCTGATCGGCCCGAACGGCGGCCTTGGCTTTGCCATAGGTAAGGCAGACTAAGCTGTGGGTGCCACGCAGCTCTCACACCGCCCTGGGAGACGGCGATGTCTGACCGGGTCCCTCTTGCTTTGGGCAGGAATGGTGGACTCCTCGATGATGCCCATCATGGGTTACCTCGTGGACCTCCGCCACACCTCGGTCTACGGCAACGTCTACGCCATAGCCGACATCGCCTTCTGCACGGGCTTTGCGATTGGTACGGATGAGCTCTCGTCCGTGGGATGAGACCCCCTCCAAGGGTCCCTCTCTGGAAAGGTGCCTTTTGCTCTCTGTCACCTCAGCCTTTCTAAATTTTGGCGTTTGCAGGTCCGTCCACAGGCGGCGCGATCGTTCGAGCTGTCGGGTTCCCCTGGCTGATGGTCATCATTGGGGTTATCAACATCGCTTACGCTCCTCTCTGCTGGTACCTGCGCAACCCTCCCGCTAAGGAGGAGAAGATCGTGAGTCTAAGTAGACTTTATTCCCTTAAAGTACAGGGCATGAATAATCCAGAGATTTGGGGCAAAAAATTTTGAAGCATCTCCCTTATGTGGAAAGGCTGAGGGAGCTGGGGCTCTTTAGTTTGCAGAAGAGGAGACTGAGGGGAGACCTCATTCATGTTTAGAAATATTTCAAGGGTGAGTGTCACGAGGATGGAGCCAGGCTCTTCTCGGTGACAAACAATGATAGGACAAGGGGGAACGGACACAAACTGGAACACAGGAGGTTCCACTTCAATTGGAGAAGAAACTTCTCAGTGAGGGTGACAGAGCACTGGCCCAGGCTGCCCAGAGAGGTTGTGGAGTCTCCTTCTCTGCAGACATTCAAAACCCGCCTGGACGCCTTCCTGTGTAACCTCATCTGGGTGTTCCTGCTCCAGCAGGGGGATTGGACTGGATGAGCTTTGGAGGTCCCTTCCAATCCCTAACGGTCTGGGATTCTGTGACAATTAGAATAAGTTTGTCAGGGATTTTGTCTTCCCTTTTGGGCTCTTCTCTGTCTTCGAAACAGGGACAAAACACTCAGACAATAAAACCAGCAAAGTTTGGAGCTATGGTCCTTTCCCCAAGTTGCACTGGTATCTCTGGGCAAAAGCTGTTGGCTCTCTCTCCCATTAACTGTTCAAATGAATCCCCATTTCCACTAAAGCCTGATTTCTTCTCTCCTTGACCCAGGCAATCCTAAGCCAGGAGTGCCCCATGCAACCCAAAAGCTACAGCGCTCCGAAAACCCTGCGCGCTTTCCCTCTCGCAGACGACAGCGACGTGGAGGCGGACGGCGCAGAATAGCGAGTACAGGGATGCGTGCCCTGCTTCAGCGCTCTATCATGTTTACAGAACATGGATGTATTACCCCAAAAAATAACCCCAAATCCCCAGGACTTGCAGAAAAGGATGGACACAGGCTGGGCTGCTGCCCGTGCAATCCACAGCCAGCACCATCCATCTGCGGCACTGCCAATACAGACATCACCACGCTGCCAACGTGCTCCTCAGAAAACAGCTTAGAAAAAACTCCAAAGCATTCATTGCTGTCTCAGTGTAGCTTTATGTGCTGTGCTATTTATGTGCTACTTACGGCTGCTTGAGTGTCTCTTCCACCATCCATTCAATTAATTCGTTTATTTGAAGAACTGTAAGAAATTCAGGTAGAAGCAAGGCTGATCAGAGTTGTGGACACAGACCCCTTCTGTGTTATTCCTAAGGGAATAACAGAGCGTTTTCAAAGTCTCCACCTCTCAGTCGAGACAGGGTAACGGGCTGTGTTTGTGCTCCTGGCCCATCGCAATGAGAAGCGCAGCAGATCGATTTAATTGCCCTTTTGCAATTTCCTGGCCGCAAGCTCAGAATGAGAGAGAGAGAGAGAGAGAGAGAGCAGCTGCGCCGTTTACAATAATTATTGAGTATAATGGCCTTTGAAAGTACAGAAAAGAGAGAGTGATGTAATAAGAGGCAGCGAATTAATGTTATTAATACCATTGAAAATTCCTGTGATCTCATTTTTTCCAATGAAACCTCAGACCGACAACTTCTCTGGCTCCGGCCGTTCACACAAACCCATTTCTGTGCGGCTGTGCAACGCGCGGCCACTTCACTCGCCCAGAAGGAACAGATGATTCACTGCTCCTCGGCCTCAGCTGCACGACGGGGATGCGTCTGCCAGCAGGGAAACGGGAGGATAACAACAACTTGTCGAGATTCGGTACCTGGTGACTCATTCCCAAAGGTCACAGATGGTTATTGTCAGGGAATGCCACCTCCACGGCGGGCCCGGTGCCCCTCGCTTCGCACACACGAGATGAAATGATATTTCTTGGCTGGCTGGAAATGACTAATGCAAAGCCTGTTCTCAAAACCTGGTTATTTTTATCTTCCACCTGTTTGCCCACTTTGCCAAGAATACGAGGAAAAACGTGGCCGTGATGGGAGGAAAAAATGTGAGCCCTTCTATTAGGGGCTCCATTCACAGCTCCCAGTCAGGTATTAACCCTAAACTGGTCTGTGACTGGTTGCTCTGGAAATCCACCCCTGTGAGCATCACCCTGCGAGGTGGGCAGACCCCCAGACACCTCACCCTATAGCACCTCGCTGTCCACAGCCACAGCTCAGGCTCCTCCCTGCAGCACTGGCAGCTCTTTTTAATTAATAAATCAGTTGCAGTGTAAATGACGTTGATGGAGCGTCTCTACTCCGAGCGAAGAATTAGGTTGTAAGCTTTGCATCCATCTGATATTTTTTTCCCCACCTTGCTGCAAGAATTAATCGAATTGAGTGCATTAACAGCGACATACACAGGTACCGCTAGCTCTGCAGTTTGGGGACACACAGGGAGACAAGGGGGTGGGTCTTGGTAGCTGTGGAGGGAAGTTTTTCCCCATTTAAGGAGAGAATCTGCAAACAAATGCTTCCCTCGCAGTTTCAGTGTAAAATTAAGCCGTGTGGGTCCGCATGGGGAGCTGAGGATACCGTTGTCCCCTCTGCCACCACGGCGGCTGCC